ATACTTTAAAATGTTTTAAGAGTGTGGGATAAAATGCAGATGAAGTGGGATTTTAACTCATTTTTAATGCCACTGAGGAACTCAGAGCTTTTTCCACCAGGTAGAGAGGAAATCTCAGGAAAATGGATTAAGAAGGAGGATGCCCAGTTGAGAGATATAAATGAAGGGAGTAGAATTGAGATCACTTAGTGAAAATCTTCCCCTCTTTTTCCAAATCCTTAAAATAGATATGTGGAGGTATAATCAATTAAAATATTTTGTTGGGAACCTTCCTAAGCCCCTAAGATCTAAAAAAGACTGGAATTTGTTTGAGAGGTTGTTGGAATCATGGGAAGATGGGAAACATGGCACGGCTAAAATATATAAAATTCTCACTGAGTTAGAAACAGAAAAAAAAAAAAATTAATGTATATAGAAAAATAGGAAAGAGATTTGGGGGTAGAGATAGGTTAAACAAAAAAAAAAAATGGATTGATTCACGAGAATGTAAGTATACACGAGGTGGAGGCAAATTACAAATGTTTGATAAGATGGTATATTACACCAAATATAGAACACAAGATGAGTGAAGAGAAATCATTTTTGTGTTGGCAGGGGTGTGGAGAGACAGGCACGATGTATCATATATGGTGGGAATGTCCACAAATACAAGTATTCTGGAAGAAAGTAGTATATCAAATCAGGATGATTACAGAAATAGATGTTAGTCTGGATCCTGGAATCTGCCTTTTACATAGTACAGAATTATCAGTTAATAAATATAAAGAAACCGGTATATGGTACTTTTTAAATGCTGCCAAAAGTCTGATTCACAAGTTTTGGCGTAAAGTAGAGATCCAAAAAGAGGAAGATTGGATAGACAGAGTGGATCAGATTGGTAGGATGGGAGAAATTATTTTATATGCAGGAGGATAGGTTAGGGACATATTGCGTGAAATGGAAAAAAATGGAAAGAGTCTAGATCAAAGGTGAAATGATGAAGAGGGGACTTTTATAAATAAGAATACTTTTCTAGTCTTTTCTTCTCTCTTAGGAGGAGGATGAGAAGTGCAGGATGGATAGCGGGTGGGAGCGGGGGGAGATGGGGAAGGGAAAGGCTTCCCCCCCCAGAGGGGTAGATGGGAGAAATAAGGGAAAATATGATGAATGTTTGTTTTTGTGAGAACGTAAATAGAATTTGTATTGTTAATTTTTCCTACTTGAAAAATTAAAAAAAAAACCTTAAGTATTGCACCACACCACAATCATATTGCAAGCAGTTTGGGAGGTGGTACCATTAGGTCACATTTGTAAGTACTACTAGCTACACAATCAATGGGAAGAATTTTTGAAGCAGCATTCACACACCTCCAATCAATGCCTTTTCACCTTACAAGGGGCAAGTGAAGCTGCTCATGTTTACCACTCTCACTCTCCAAAAGCAGGTCGAGATGGGCCTCTAAGGAAAACCTGCAGTCCATAAAAAAAAAAAATTCACTGTAATAATGTAACCAACAGCTTTTTAATTGCCTTTCCTTCACAACCTAGGAAGAAAGAATAAAAGCTGGCCATACAGCTGAACTTTCAGCTAATCCCAGCAATTGGAATACAATCAGAAATTCCTCTACCCACACTGTTTAGGGTCATCAGACTTTAACAGACAAATGTGGTGGGGTTTTGAGACACTTGAAATTATTCTGAATTCATTGCACATGCAGTTGACATGATTCAGCAGGTCTAAAGTGAACAAAAAAAGTAGAGACACTATCCCAAGGTTCCAAATCACAGCTCTTCCTTGGCCTGACTGGCCATGAACAAGCTCTGTAAAATGGGAATAAAAAAAAAAAAAAAAAAAAAAGTCAAATGCTCCTCCATATATCTTTAGTAGCCAGTATCTCCTGCTCTCCTAGCAGCCAAATGGAGAAGTAAGGGAGCAAAGGAAAGCCACAAGTGGGGAAATTTTGCTTGTGGCATCCATTTCCTTTACTCCTCTTGCTTACAAGTGGTCTCTACAGGAGAAGTAGAAAAGGGGAAATCTCCCCAATGCGGCAAAAACAAAATGCCAGGCGTTTAAAACAAGTCTCTAATCCATCCAAAGCTTTGGCTTTAGATTCATTTTAAAATGGACCCAAAGCTTTTTCTCCACATGGGCAAACAAAGTACTGGTTCATGTTAAATATGGCCTTCATATGGCTTACAATTTAATTGTTACTTTTCATTGTGCAACAGGATATGCAAGACAATACAAGCAATTTTGTTTTATTTAAAATGAGTTTTAAGACATAGGACAATTCATAAAAAAAAATTCTAAAAATCCTCCCAAACCTAAGACAGGCAAACTGCAAACTTCCAATATATACATTTGCCAAACATACACAAAGCCATACAGAATCAATCTACAGCAGAGATGAGGACTACTGCCTTGCTACAGGGCTTAGAATACACACAAAATACACATTTGAATATTTAAAGTCTTACACATACACCATACAAGGGTTAAAGCTGTATATGCTTTATACTTGGTTGTAGGGAGGCTTCTGCTTAATCCATACGGTTTCCTGGTTTGCTGTAGAACATATGCTTTGGATTCCATGTTAAAGAAAAGCCATATGGTAAAAACTGCCTGCAAGCTGTATTTTCCCCAACTCTGACTGCAGCATATCACCCCAAATTTCCCAAAACTGATGCACCTTATAAGGCAGTTAGGGGCAGCCAGGGATGTATGGACCCAGCAGGTTCTCTAAGAGAATCTAGATTAACAGTTAAGTTGACCTTTGGGAATGTTACATGTTCCACCCTAAAACCAGGTGGAACATGTAACATGTTCCCGCTCCTGCAGCTCTCAGCCTTGATTCTCCCCTCCGCCACAACAGTGGGTTAGTGATCTTCTCCCCGCAGTCAATTTAAAAAACGCAGCCTTGCAGAGATCATGCATTCAAAATGTTATCAGTGGCAGAATAGCAACTATCATCAACCTTTGTGGTTGACAGTTTGTAGCTCTCAATGAACAACCAGGGCACTGGTCAGCACTCTAGGCAGTTCATCAATTCTTCCTGTTCATGTAAGTGGTCTGCTTGTATGGCAGTTACACAATCTCAGTTTGCAGGAGCCCTGCATTGCACCCCCAGATCTGCTGATTGTGGATGCAATGCTCTGAAGGTTCCTAATTAAAAAAAAAAAAGAATATTTAAAATAAATGCACTTTACCTGCAAAAAGATGTGCATTTTTTTTTTTTATATGTGAACTTATCCTTAACTCCAATTTGCAAATTAGATCTTGTAAACCAAGAAATATAGTAAATATATTTTGATTTTGCTGGCCAAGACCATTTATCCTGTGTACCCAATAAACTCATGCTTTGCTTTTTGACAGAGCAATCAGAAACCAATGTATACATGAAGAAATGGGTCTAGTTCTCTCACGGCAGCAAGCCAGGTATAATGGTTAACACAGAACCCAGTGCAAGCATAAACTAAAAAGAATACCATTTACAAAGCTGACAAAAATAAAGCCTCACTTCTCACAGATGTCAGTGTCAGGGGGGTGGTTGCACTTCAAAAATGGAAATTCAAAGGAGGGGGGAGTGAAAAAGTTTAATACTGCCAGAAGGGTATCTTCATATCATAGCAGATCAGAACTGTCGATTAGAACATATTTTCAGTTGCCTGGATGAGAGCACAGGATATTTTCCCTGCACGGCGATTCCCAGTCAGTCCAATAAGCAGGCTGGAGGCTAGAAGGCAATCTGATGCTGCAAATACTATGTCCTCTGGACTGAAGTGCATGAATCACAACTGTACGCAGAGTTACACATAGATATCGATTGTGTTTCAGCAGTTTGGTTGAATTTCCACTTTTAAATGTCCTGGCTTAATCAAAAACAAAGCCCTAGAAACTTGGCAGGTTCATTCATTCATGTAGAGATCGCACTAAAAATGGTCACATGGTAAACCACACATTATACTAAATCACTTACCACACAATCTCATTCGAACATGCTTAACTCAATCTTCCCCTTAGAGGTAGCTTACAAGTACGATTTTTCACAACACAGATAAATAACTGACAAATACAGACAGCCATAATTTAAGATCTTGCCGGCTTGTTAACTTTACAGTCTGCACTGAAGGAAGAAAAAAAAAACAAAAAAAAAAAAAAAAAAAAACTGTACAGAGTGACAGTCCTAACACTTAGCATCCTAAAGCTTAGGAGTATAAAATATATACACAGCATCTGAATTGTTAACAGCTTCCAGCATCAGGAGATACAGACTCTAGAATGGCTTGAAACTTCTTTGTAAGCCATTGCCAGGAAGAAGTCTGTATCCAGGAGGACAGATCTGATGACAATCTCTACACAGTCTACTTGAAGGACTATGGGAAGTGTACAGTGCATTGGGCAAATCTAGTACAGACATTAAGTCAGTTTTCAGTATTTTGGAAACGGGCAGAAAACATTCATTATGAACAGTTCAGTCATATTTCAGCAGTTCCCAGCTTTAGCACTCCTACCTCACAGAAAATATTCATGCTGCTTAGGTGGAAAACACCTTGTTAGCAAGATGAAACAGAGGCAGCAAAGAAAAAAAAAAAAAAAAAAAAGGCACTGTAAATTAACAGACTTAATAGTAAACAGAATCTTCAAGAACTGATGAAAGAAATACAATTTTTGCAGTTCTCTTCAACACAATGCTTGTGCATTCTAGACTGGAAAGTGCATCACAGAGGTGAGTGGTAACATGCACAAGACAGTAGCCAATGCAGTTTGGCAGTGTAATCTGTGCCTTTTTGCATGTCACAATTGTGGCGGTTTTAACCCATCAAAAGGATTAACATTGCCACTGCAGTAATTAATTCCTGTCTGGATGTTGCAGATGTGACATGTTTATGTTGGATTTTTTATTTTTAAACTTATCGGCACCAAAGGGTGTCTCATCCAATTTGATTCCTTTAGAAAAAACAAAACCATTAAGAAAAAACACCAGTCTTCAAGGAGCACAGAACTGTTTTAAACAAAGCGTTCACTTCTTTCGCTGGTGCTGACGTCGTGCCATTACCCTCTGCCGTGATCCTGAAGGTTTGGATATTAAGCCAATTGAAAAGCTTCCTGGAGTACCTTGGCCTGGAACACCTTGGCCTGGAACAGAAAAGGGATGGGGATATTAAAGCAGTTCTAAGGATACAACCTACAGTACATTTTCATTTTTTAACAGGAGTTAACAGCAATACAAAATAGTTATTTGACAATCCAATATAAGCTTACTTAAAAAAATCTCCTTTCGTGTTGTGAGTGCTGCCTAACAATTTCCTGGACTCCCTGCAACCTTTGTGGCTTTTCTGCTCATTCCCTTGGCTTACTTTGCATTTCCATGAACTACAAATTCCATGGTACCCTGCTGCCTGCGCTAATGTGGTCTCTTTCCTGTACTGCCTTCTGAAACTTCTCTTCAGCACCTTCCTGTATGTCAGAAGTCAGGATCTGTGACATACATATACATACACACACAGTAATTATGTACAATTGCATTCAAGAAAGTAAATGTGTGGAATCCAGATTTTACAATTTTAAGATCATTTAGATTAGCAGGTAACAAAATTGAAATTCATTGCGGTTTCCATATTTTGACCTTCGATAAAGTGCAAACTAAATTTCATGCAAACCAGACTTTCTTTCTCAGCGATATATGATAGAAAGATGTCACAGGCATTTAACCTGACACACACACACACACACACACACACACACACACACACACACACACACACACACACACAACCATTTCCAGGTAGGGGGCATGCGCGCCACCCTACCTGCGCCGCCATTGGCAGCTAGGGATGTCAATCACTGGGTCCCAGCCACAGATTCCCTGCCGTCACCTGCCGATCACCGTGTAAAACAGACAGGGGAAAGACCTGTTGGCAAACAGGTCTCTGCCAGCAAGGAGCCACGTTTGATCGCCCAAAAGTTAACTCCTTCCTGCCCAGTGTCATTAGTACAGTGTCAGTGCTTTTTATTAGCATTGATTGTATTAGTGTCACTGGGGATGTCAGTGGCATGTAGTTCCCACCCAGCGTCAGAATGCCCGCCGCAGTCCCGCTATAAAAGTCGCTGATAGCCTCCATTACTAGTAAAAATAAAAATGTTTTATATGATGATATCTTATATATAGCCGGTTTTATAGCTTAAAATCAAAAATATTTTCTTCAAAATTGTCTGGTAATAGCACAAAAAAAATAAAACACAGAGGTGATCAAAGTCCACAGAAAGAAAGCTCTATTTGTGGAAGGGGGGGGGGTGTGAAGAAAAAAAATAAAATGGCCTGGTCAGGAAGGGGGGTAAATCCTCTGGAGGGCAAGTGGTTAACGTGGGCAGAAGAGGCAAGCTTTAAGCTATAGCTTGGAATTTGGTTTTGGGAGTGGAACCAAGCACCCTGCTTTTTAACAAGCTTGCACATAGCACATTACCTCCATGTTTGCTCTTCCCAGCGCAAACCGGTTGAAGCTGTTTGGCATCCTCTTTCTACAGCCACTTATGCTCCAACTCCTGCTCATGTGTGCTGGTGTGACATCCCAACACCTGGCTGAACTCTTGCCATCTTACAGATACAATGTGCACTGCACCACGCCACAGAAATTTCTTCTACCAAAAAACACTTGCAAAGCATCTTCTACCAAAAACTCTGCTGGCAACTTTCTAATTCATTTCCACTTTATCCTCGTCACAGTGAAGATTTATAAATAAAACCTTTGGGGGCCATAACATCACTTTGGGATATTGAAATACACAACTTACCAAAGGTAGCAGGGGAGGCAAAGGATGGAGTTGAAGTTGTGAATGGAAGGGATCCAGCAGGTGAGTTCCGGCCAAACTGAGAGCCTGAAATGAGAAGTAAGTCAGTAAGGCTTCTTTGTCTTGTGCAGCCTAGCAGAAAGCAGTCATTTCAGGACTCAGGAGGTCCCCTTTCAAGGTGTTGTAAAGGTTCTTTTCTTTATCCTTAAAGCGGTTACATTTACTTGCTCTGTGGTTTTGCACAGAGCAGACCCAAACCTCTTCTGGGGTCACCAGTGCTCTCCACTCCCATAGCAAACCGCTTACTGTGGGGCAGACATGCGGGCTTGATCCAGAGACAAGCTGTGCACCTATAGACGCACACAGCATGGCTCTGACCAGTCCCCTATTGCCTCACAGCAGGAGTATAAACTCTCCACTTTCCAAAACAGAAACTACAGCAATCAAGCAGTGTTAAGAGTTGACAGTAAAACCAGGCTCACTTGTGTTATTTCAAAAGGCTCCAAAAAGGATCAGACCACAAAAGGTGATCAAAAGCTATAACGCCAATCTCCTTCCCAGTCCTTCATTTAAGATAAAAATGTCTTTAATAAGGTATTGCAGTTGAAATCACATTGGCGCATTTTTATAGCAGGTTTTCCAGAAAAGTATATATTGTTCTCTTAAAGCGGAGTTCCACTCACTCTTTTTAAAAGTCCGCAGTTTTTGTAGCTGCTGACTTTTTTTTTTTTTTTTACAAACAGCCACTCACCTGTCCCACGATCCCGCGGTGCCCCCCCTGCAGCCCGTTTTCACCGGCCGTCCTATATTTCAGGCGCGATTTTTGATGTGGGCACCCTGCTGGGACAGCTTGCAGCTTCACAGCCGGGTGCCCACTGTGCATGCGAGAGTAGCGCTGCGCTTCCTGAATGGCCGTCTTCTGGGACCTGCCACGTGTCCCAAAAGACTACAGGGAGGAAAGGGTAGGACAACTTCCGCTTCCGATCGCCTAGGTGATCGCAGCAGAAGTGGGAGCGGGTATCTGTCAATTTCGGGTACCCGCCCCAAGGTGTCAATCCTTAATGGGGAGTGGGGGGACCAATCTTTAAAGCGGAACTTCACCTTTTAGGTGGAACTCCGCTTTAAAGGCTGAGCTCACCTTCTGGAGCATGTTGCTCATTATACCTGCATTTAGGGTGTAACATGTTCTATCGCCTCCAGTTGTAGCCCCCAATATGTCCTGTGACAGTAGGTGGGGAGTCCTCTCTCCACACCCGCTGTCCCATTTTAAAAACGGCATGGCTGTGTGGGGCTCCGCCCACACAGTCACATCACAAATTCCCTGGAATCTAATGGAGCTACAAATTTCATCTGCCTCTGTGGCAGACTGCTCGTAGTTTTCAATGAACTGTGAGGGTGCTGGTAAGTGTTCAAAGTTCATTGACACTTCCTACAGCTTTCAAACAGTAAGCAGTGTCTGCAGGAGCTTGACATTGAACCCGCATTCTGCGGATTGTGGGTCTAATACTCTGCAGGCTGCTGAGAAAAAAAAGATGCACTGCTACCTGTAAATCATGTGCATTTATTTTTTTGGGTAGCACAGTGGCTAAGTGGTTAGCACTTCCCCCTAGCAGCACTGGGGTCGTCTGTTCAAATTCTAACCACAGCACTACCTGCCTGGAGTTTGCATGTATTCCCTGTGCGGGTTTCCTCTGGGTACTGCAGTTTCTTCCCACACTCCAAAGGCAGGCTGGTAGGTTAACTGGCTCCTGTCTAAATTAGCCCCAGTATGTGTATGTATGAATGAGTTAGGGACATTAGATTGTAACCTCCTTGAGGGCAAGGACTGATGTGCATTTAAAATAAGTGACGCACTGCATATATTGTCAGCGCTATATAAGTGAATGTAATAAAAAAAAAAAATGTGAACGTAGTGCTTAACCACAGAGTTCAGAAAGCATTTAGAAAAACAGTATGGCCACTCACCAAAAGCAAGCTTGTTTTCAGTTGGTGCTGGAGTCCCAAAGTTCAAGGGTGTGCTTGGATTTGTGATTGCACTGTTATTCTGAGCCAAAGAGTTCCCAAAACCCAATGTCTGGGCAGGTGTGGCATTTGGTGTACCAAAAGTCGAAACAGAGTTAGAGTTTTCCCCAAAAGGGAAAGGTTTTGACCCAAAAAGGTTTGCAGCAGGTGTGCTGTTGGTCTGGGTACTGTTCATATTGCCAAATGTTACTTTAGAGGCAGCAGGTGCAGAATTTCCAAATGGGAAAGTAGTATTTCCACCAAATGCTGGTTGAGCGTTTGCACCAAATGTTGGCTGGGAGGTGCTTCCAAAAGCTGGCTGGGTAGCTGTTCCAAATGAGGGTTGAGTTCCAGATGACCCAAAACCAACAGAATTTTGTGCAGGGTTTTCCGCTTGAATGCCACTTCCTGAGGTGCTGTTAAATGCAGATGTGCCAGAGTTAGTCGAGAATACAGCAGCATTTGAACTAATTGTAGCTGTAAATGCAGAGGTGTTTGATCCAAACAATGATGGCTGCTGGGGCTGAGCCGCTGTTGTAGGTGCAGACTGCGTACTACTAAATATATTTAAGCCTGAAGTAGCTTGTGAGGTAGGCGGCTGCCCAAAAACAAATGGTTTGGCTTGGGAATCTGAAGGTGCATTACTTGTAGGAAATGAGTTTACTGGAGCAGGGTTTGATCCGCTAGCAGACGTTGCCACTGATGAGAACAAAGATGCAGTAAAGGTGTTAGTAGTGCTGCTGCTGCTGGAGGTGGGGGCAGCCAGAGAAGGCTTAGTTACACTCTCTGTACTGAGCGTAGTATTGGTGCTTTTGGCACCAAATGCTGAAAATAGAGAGCTGGCAGCAGGGGATGTCGAATTCATCTGGAATGTGAAAGATGAAGAAGCAGGTAACTGGACTGTAGAATCTCCAAATATTGGTTTGAATGTGCCTGAAGTTGGGGCTGGCTGAGTATTCTGATCTCCAAATATTGGTTTGAATGTATTTGCTGAAGAAACAGAATTTGAAATTGTAGATGGCACAGTGGAGGAAACAAGAGGTGTTGTCCCATTTGTTGGGAAGATTGGCTTAAAACCAGTCTGTGAATCATTTTCCAAAGGTTTAGTAAGAATCTGGAGCAGAGTAGACTTCGGGGGCTCCGATTTGGGCTGTGCGGTATCAGATGGTATGAGTGGTGCACGGTTAGAGCTTTCTGTAACTGCTGGAGTAGAAAAGGAAGGTGCTGTGAGAGGATTGCTGATCCTAGGAATTGCAGGTTCCACAGAAGATATTGGTATTTTTTCCTTTGAAGTGCTTGTATTCACAGTCTGTGCTGGTGCTGGAGCTGAAAGACAAGAGGATTCAGTAACACATCTTCATGGTACAAACTATCTTATGCTTAAGTAAAATTGCCCAAACTTTACATTATGCAAATTAAGTCCTGTAAAATATGGCCATACCAGAATACAATATAAGTTAGACATTCTAGTACAGAAAATTGCATCTACTGCAGCAAGGAAAGGTCTGATCACACAGTGGGGGAGATTTACTAAAACTGGTTCACTCAGAATCTGCTGAAGGTATGCATGGTAGCCAATCAGCTTCTAATTTCAGCTTGTTCAATTAAGCTTTGGCAAAAAAACTAACAAAAAAAAAACAACACACAAAGGCTGATTGATTTTGCACCCTCCAGCTTTCGTAAACAACCCCCAATTCGTTCCAACATAACAAATTTTCACATACTGGCAGCTAGCTTACCTTGTGTTTCCTCCTTATTCTGCATTTTAGTCAGGCTGAGAAGAAGATTGTTACTGCTAGCAGAGGAGGTTGGTAAAGTCAGTGCTGCAGCTGCTGTTGTAGGCAGGTTAAACGGAGAAGTTGCCGTTAAGGTGGTTGTTACTGTTGTGGAGGATGCAGAGCTGAGTAAAACTGTTGCGGCTGGTGCAGCGCTGAGTGGAACTGACCCTAAAGAGAAAATTAGTTGTTTTTTTTTAAAGTTTAAGATAATGAGCAGAGTTTAAGCTGATTTCTCAAAAGTATTAGATTAGTTCATGCAGGAAAGTGAATGGTTACTTTGCCAACTGAATATAATGAAAGGTGAAACTGTGTTTACTATGAACAGGAGGGGGGGGGGGGTAAATCCTCTGGATGGCAAGTGGCTAAAGTTTAAGAATTAAGGTTTGAGATAATGAGATTAGCATCACTCCCTTTAAGAGACTGCTTCTAATCTCAGCTTGTTACCTGTATGAAAGACACCTGGTAGCCAAAATCCTGCTGAATGATAGGGAATCAAATACTTATTTCCCTCATGAACATGCAAATCAGTGCATACATTTGTTAGACATGCATTTCTTTTGAATGATTTGTTACTATTCTCTCTCTGTGTTACAATACACCTACCATTCGATTTTTAGACTGATCATTTGTTTGTGAGTGGGCAAACATTCAAAATCAGCAGGGGATCAAATACATATTTCCTTCACTGTATGTCGCTATGACAGAAATTCAATTTGACTAGAAGGCGTTTAAAGAGTAAGACTGCATTGACTCTTAATTTTGACAGGCAATTGCCACACAATTCTGCAAGTCACAAAAGGCAGCCCATTCACTTGAATGGGCTGCCCTATGTGCGACTGTCACCAGATTATAAAAGGTGCGATTTGCGCGTGGCAATTGCATCCCAGTCATTGTGTTTGGAGTGCTACATTCCCAGCACGTAGTGCCATGATTGCCATGCAATCCCAAATCATGAGATTAAAAGGGCCTTAAAGAACAGGAAGTGTTTGTCAATTACTTGCCATCCAGAGGACTTACCTCCCTTCCTGACCAAGCCATTTTTTGAGATACGGCGCTGCGTTACTTTGACTATTGAATGGTCGTGCAACGCTGCACTCAAATGAAATTTCCCCTCCCCCCCCACAAAGAGCTTTCTTTTGGTGGTATTTGATCGCCTCTGCGGTTTTCTCTTTTTTGTGCTATAAACAAAAAAAAAAAAAAAAAAAAAAAAAAAAAAAGACAATTTTGGAGACAAAGTAAATTTTTTTTTTAACTTTTTGCTGCTAAACATGTCCAGTAAAAAAAAATGTTAAAGAAAAAAAAATTAAAATTTCGGCAAAATTTAGGCCAAAATGCATTCTGCTACGTCTTTGCTAAAAAAAAATCCCTATACGTGTAAATTTGTATACGTGAAAGTTCTAGCATTTACAAATGGCAGTATATATACTGGATTTTTTTAATTTATTTATTTTTAGTAGTAATGGCGGCAATCAGTGACTTATAGCAGGACTGTGGCGGGCATTCTGACACTGGGGGGGGGGAACCTGTCACCGACATCCCCAGTGACACCAATACAGTGATCAGTGCTAATAAGAAGCACTGACACTGTACTAATGGCACTGGACAGGAAGGGGTTCACACGTGGGGCGATTAACAGTGTGCTCTTTTACTGTGCTTTACACTGTAAGTACACTGCTTTGTATGGCTCTGCTATGCAAAGCAGTGTGCAAGAGCTGACGGGAGAGATCTGTGTTTATACACAACTCTCCCCCATTAGCAATACTCAGATTGCCAGGTGCCGGTGGGAATCACCGGCAGGAATCTGGTGATTGACAGCCAAGGCAGCAGAGCTGCAAAATCACATGTATACACACACACGTGATATTGCGCACCCGTGCCGCCCTGTACCAGTATTTCTGCTATAGACCGGCGCAGAGGCGGTTAAAAAAAGATTTCCCATCCACCACTGCAGTTCCAGTTTAGCTTCCAGAAGAATACCAGTGAAGAACTCCTTCCTTCCTTTAAAAAACCATTGGAAGAACTTGCAGGCATATGTGTATCAAAGTCACATACAGATTGCATTTAAATGTATTCAATGTGATTTTTAGGTAGTGGTTTGCAAGAAATGTATTCATTGTAAGCATTTGTGAGAGATGTGTACAAACATAGTAGTTTGTCAGTTATGTTAACTAGCTGTTAGTGGTTAGTAGGCCAGCATACTTACATTTTTGCTTTAATTGCAGCCATTCTGCCTTTTAGAGCCTTAATAACCTCCCTTCATAATTACCAAAGGGGCAGAAAAGCCCAGAAATTAGCTAATCACTAGAGACTGTTCTGAGACTGTACACCTCTAGGCTTTTCCTGGATCTCTCCCTTGACCTGCCTATATACTGCTGCATATTCCATGAAAGGCGATGACTGATTACTTGGACATTTCCAATTTTATGTGCAAGCGGATATTTTATCAATAAAATGTTTTGTTGCCGTCACCTCCCTGCGCTCTGTATGAGTTTAGCTGGTTTGAAGCTGGATCTTATCCCAAAAAATTGATGTGGAAGCTGTGGCTGGTGTACAATACTTTCTGGTCTTAAATTATTTTTTTTTTGCCTTTAAAAAAACCACATTATGCTCATCTATTCTGTGCAATGGTTTTGCACAGAGCAGCACTGATCCTCTTCTGGGGTCCTCATGGCCCCTCCCTCCTGCCCCCAGATCAAGCAGCTTGCTATGGGGGCACTCAAGAAAGCTCGCTCCTGAGCTGCTGTGTGTGTGTATTAACACACAGAGCTGTGGTTTGGCCTCGGCCCTCCTCATTGGCTTACTGGCTGTGATCGGCAACAGCAGGAGCCAATGGTTCCCACTGCTATCTCAGCCAAGGATGGAGAGTATCAGAGAGCCAAGGCTCTGGTGCACATTGCTGGATCGGAATGGGGATCAGGTAAGTATTAGGGGGGCTGCTTTACCTTCACGCATAGAATACAGATGCCTCTTACTTTTTGAAGGACAGTATATGTTTTGACTATTGTTTCCTTGCCTCTTGGAAGACAGTATGGAAGTTTACTAGGTTATGAATTTTGTTAGTTTAAATTTTAGCACTGGTACCAGATTCATTTCTAGCGCTACATTACAATTTTTCTTGTATGTAGTCCAGTTCTGATGCTCATGAGCCCATTATGCATGCTTTTGGCTGTGGAAACAGGTCAGCATGGCCACTGACCAGTCTACAGCTGCAAAGAACCATATAAAAACACTGCGATGCACTGTTTTCTGACACCAGAACCAACATTATTTTTTAGCAATTTGAGCTACAGTAGCTCTATTAGTTCAGACTCCCTGGCCCAGCCTTCCATCCCCATGTGCATCAATGAGCCCTGGTCACCCAAGACCCAGTCGCCGATGATTCTTTGGACCACTTTTGGATGGTCATGACCACTGAAGCTTGGGAACATCCCACAAGAGCAGTTTGGAGATGCTCTGACCCAGTCATCTAGTTATTACATTTGACCCTTGTCAAAGTTGCACAAATCTTTACGCTTGCCCCTTTTTTTTTTCTTGTTTTCAACATATTAGCCTCAAAAGCAACATGTTCACTTGCTACCCAATTCACGTTACCCATCAGTGGTCACTATGTTATGGCTGATAGGTGAATATTACAATTTACATGGCTTAAACTAACCTTGCATTAAAACACACAGTAGTTCATGTGTAGTTTGGCTTTAACCCCTCCATTAAAGCAAAAATTGCTGAACTGTTTAATGCATGACACATGAGAAATTACAGCCAGTAAAAATCTGAACCCTCTACCCATACATTTGTACCAAAATATTGAAGCCATTTTATCATGAGGGCAGCCAGTCACTGTAATAAGTATGCAGCAACTAAGGTGCCCTTTATTCAAGGTCAGCAACTCAGGAAAGGAAATAGAGAATAGCATAAGAGCCAATCCAATGGTATTTTCAGCCAAGGAATAGCAGCCCACATTATATGAAGCCCTGTTAATGCAAAGGTTTTTAAAGACATCTGAACACCACTTTACCATGGTACAACTTTATGAATCATAACCAACTTCTTACCAGCTGCATCTTCCAGTGCCTTGTTCAACCTTTGTAGAGAAGCCTTCTTTTCAGAGTCAAAGTCTTTTGATGTGACACTGTATCCAACCAGAGGTGGAGGAGGCTATGAGAAACGCAACAGAATTAGTGAACACTTTAGGGCCCTACTACCCCAACACAGTTTGTGTTTGCTCAGTGCACAGCCCACTGTGCTCTACACTAAATACATGTCTGTAGCACAGCATGCTGCACAGCCTGCCAGCAGCTCTGAGCTTTGGTGCTAAAAGCCATAGGTTCCATGGCTTGAGATCCTGCTAGAGTGTGTAAGTGCAGATTAACACAATGCTTCCACATTCTGTTAAATGGGAAGTGCAGTGTAGCTGCATGCAGAAGATTTTTCCCTCTTAATGCATTAAGGCAAGAAAAAAAAAATCCTGCCTTTACAGCCAAGGAAAAAAACACAAAAAAAAAACCTTTATAACCACTGAGATGCCATCTTATTAATGGCACAATTTACAAAAACTAAAGCTGGCCAAACACTAGATTTTCGAACAAACATCTGTAAGAAAATTCTCTGGACATTTAATGACCAATGTTTGAAAATCTCAAAAATGTCATTTGATTTTGGATTGAGTGGACTTTACCAAAAATGAAAAAAAAAACAAAAAAAACACACACCCTTACCGTTGGAGATAACCTGCCCCCGCCCCACCGAATTTTCTTGTCACTACGGTCAAAAATGAACACCGATTTGACTACACTATTCATTAGAAAATGGTACAAATGTCTTAGAAAGGTCTCATTTTAATGAAATTCTACTAGTGTATGGTCAGTTTAAACCATATAGCAGCCCTCTGGACATGTATGGGGCACAGCTCTGCTTCATTCACTTAATATTAATATTTACCAGTGGGTACTGATCACTACGTCCTGAGTAGACCAGCAACACTTTTTTTCTTCGGGCCCCACCACTACCATTTTCACTGGAGTTTACAGATTTGGAAGGAGGAGTATCACCAACTGCAAAGAGGGTCAAAATAAAAGATCAGTTTTTCACACTCAAGCCCTATTTGAATAACACAGCAATGTCCACATGACTTACATTTTCCAGCCTGGTCTTTGTCTTGTTGCACAGACGTTGATGGACTAACATCATGTGATTCTTCTCTGTAAGACAAGTTTAATGATGCCATTAAGTTTGGCTAGGTGAAAAAGCAACAGCCAATGAATTTTAGTATACGTTGTATCCAACAGAAAAGTACAGTGTATACAATTCTACTAATATAGTATAGTCTCTAGTATACCAATAGGTACATTCCACCCATTACATAAAAGCAGGGTAGAGCAGGCTCTAAATTGTTTAGCAATTTCTGAACTAAGTTACTCTTATTCTATGGTTATTGATTGAAATAATCTACATTCACTTCTGTATCAAGCAGAAAAGAACGTTAGACAACTTGATATTTAGGCATAGAAGATGTGGCCGTATTCTTTAAAGTATTTCTTCTGTAACAACCCCCCTCCCTTCACCTTTAAGGAAGGTTTCCATTAACTTGTAGATGACCGGAAAATAGATACGCTGTGCATGCCAAGACACTTTTCAAAATATGGTATAGACACTGCTTCTTAGGTGTACCCACTTGTAAAATTAAGTTGTGTCTCAAAAACAGCATTACCTTGCTTTTTTAGCTGACAGATCTGGTGTCTGGCTCCTGGATGAGGGTGAACTTGAAACTGCAGACACATTTTGTGTTCGCTTTCTTTTCTACCAGGCAAAAACAGAAAAAAAACCACAAAAAAAAGTTAAACAATTACACTTTGTACATTTTTGTGTAGTTTACAGTTTTCCAAACCTGCCCCCCCCAAAGCTGGCTATGCATAGGCAGATTTTTGGCAATCTGAATTTCCAACATGCTAAAGCTTCTAAGTACCCAACACCAAGTGCTTTTAATTTTTATTGTAATGCCTTTTCTACTTTATTGGGGTAAAGGATGTCTGATGTGTCCAACATTTAGAAAAATTTGTGCAATTCTACACCAGTACTGAGTTATCTCAAGCAGAAAACGCAGACTAGAAGGCAATGTACGGACTAGGTGATCAAGTCCTAGTAGTGTCCCAAGTTTTCCCTGGTAATCTAACACTTAGAGGGCCAATACAAATTCAATGACCGTTCACACAACAATATTATATTATATGGAAAAGCCTCGTCAGGTTAGTAAACCTTGTCTAATGCAACTGATATCAACCTAGGATAAGTGTCAGACGCTTCTTGCCAGTTTGATAACATGCATTTCATTCCAAACATTTGATGATTCAATACCTGCAGGATGACTTTGCTAGAACTGTAGGAGCTGGTGATCGCATTGTGAGAAGACATTGCAAGTCCATTCATTGCAGAACTACTCAATGAACTCATCGAGGAGGTACGGGATCTTTTGTTGACGGTGTCTTCCAGAACTTGTGAATTAAGTCCTCTTTTTAAGCTGTCTGGCCTGATAAGAGCACAATAAATCAATACAAACATCCATTTTATACATTAACCAGACACGAAACCATTCATCAAAGACACAAAATAGGAACAGTCCTTTTCAAAAGCAGTATATCACTTAAGTCAGCATTGGGAAAAGGAGAAACTGTACTCCTGTGTATGGGGGACAGACTCAGCCATTACGCTGGCCACGCCCTCTGACATGTTTTGCCAGAGGTGATCAAGCCCCACTGGGCAGGGTGAAAGGCATCAGAGGGAGTGGCCGGCGTGGCGGTTGAGGCCATCCCCCATATACACAATTACATGGGCAGTCAGAGCAGTGTCCTTTCTCCTCTTCCCAAATGCAAGTTACTGGACTTTAATGCGGACACTGTTCCTCTATATATGCCGGTGAGGCAATTCTGCATATTCACAACTCCGCTTCTGAGCAGTGCCAAGACACATCATACACCAACTAATGTCAGCTTTGTTCACCAACCTAGGCTTTCAAGGTTCTTGTACCAGCTTCTTCTGCAAACCTCACTCGAGGCATTTAAATAAAATGCTACACTGTCTAAGTCAACCAGAGATTTTAAAAACAATTCATTGGAGTTGGAGGTTTAATTTCTTACAGCCTCTGTGCAGCATCAGTGCAGTAGCATGTAACCTACTTCAAGAGTACCTTGTGGCTCATGGGTACATAGTTATAGTATGATTTACACCAGTTTCAAAAATGAAAGGCTTGTTTATGCAATGCAGATACTAGCCATTTCATTCACAGCCATTGCAGCAGAAAAAAAACAAATGGCATCCGCTATAATTAATTGATCAGAAGCCTGATCAATTCAGATTGTGGGCATCGAAAGGAAGAAGTCTCTTAAAGTGCACATATCCCTAGACTGTGGCATTGCATATTCTTAAACAGGTAGAACATTTTTTAAGACCTCACTAGCCAATTTTACTGTGAAGCACTTCATTATCAAAGAACCTCAAAAGCAACCTTAAATGGATCGATGAACAGTTCCCACATCAACAGTCAGTGTTGATGGGGGAATGCCTCCTGCAAAACTATTGTGGTCCTGCCAGTACAGGATTACGATGAGCAGCTATAGCCGCACAGTATACACATGCTAAAAATCAAACAGGCTGGCTGCAACCAAAGTGATCATTGGATCGATTTTGGTATAAATCAGACTACCCATAGATGGATTGAATCTCATCTGGCCCCTGCTGAACCCAGCCAGGAATCTATCCATCTATGGCTGGCTAAACAATTGCTGTAGGTTTACAAATAGGCTGGCAGGCTGCCAGTATTCGGCTCTACAGTACCTGGAAGAATTTCTACACTAAACAAATCGCTAAATATTTTTTGTCTGAACGCTTTAAAGCATAAAGGTCTATTTCCACTCACTTTGAGACACATGAAGGCAAAGTTCCATTTGGTAAAGGATACTCAAATGAGGAGTCTCGACTTCCACTGCTGGCTTGCCTCCTAAAGGGTGTGAATTAAAAATATGGACAAGGAAATTTTAATTATTGAACATTGCCTAAAACACACCTGAAACAAATTCTTACACTGATGTTTTGCTATAAGTTGTTAAATTGTTGTGCCTCAACAACGGAGGGGATATTGGTTTTCCTTTCAATACATTTTTATAGAAAATCTTTGCAGGTATACATTGTAACCGCTGTCATGTTTACAAATAGATACACAAGATCAATATCTTACAAACCAAGGTGGTTGTACATCATATACAAAAACTAACCAAAACAAAGCTTATGGTGAGAAGTGGGAGGAGACATCAAAAAGGTACTAGAGCCTGGGCTCTGGGTCTGTTTATAGCAGTGTGCTATTGATATAGTAGGATGGGCAGGTTTGATCCATGGGGTCCATCTTTAAAGGATTCTCGTGTATCTAAATGGATGTTTGAAAACTTAATTAAATGAAAAAGAAATACAAGCGTTAGCTGACTTCTGTAAAAGGGTGTGAACGGTTTCCAAGCTTTTGCTATGGTTTGACACCAGTAGTACATAAGAAGCCAGTTTAAATTTGTATTTAGTGACGCCTAGTGGTTTCTGATGTAACAGGACATGCCACGGGTCTTTTGGGAAGGGACAGGTCAATAATTGTAAGAGTAAGGACTTTTGTCCAGACCAAGACACACATAGGGCATGTCCACCACACATGGAGGACCTCTCCTGGATTAGAGCATCCCCTGAAACAGGTACTGTGAGTGGAGGGATGAATGTGTGCAAAGGGGGATGGGACCAGGTATCATCTCATGATAGTTTTAAAGGCTGATTCAATAGTGAGAACATTAATAGAGCAAGAAGTCCGTGTAGTCCAAATTTGTGACCAGCAGCCCCCATCTCTGGTGCGTTTAAAATCCTTTTCCCACCTGGAAACGCAAGTGTGATTACTGGGGTTTTGAAGGGTATTCAACTGCGAGTAGAGAGTGGATATATGTTTGGGGGGAAAGGGCATCCAATGACAATTATGTTCAAACCGACAACTGGGACGTCGGGATTTTGTCAGCGAGCACTGAGGACAACCAGTGTTTAATCTGTAGAAATCTAAAAAGTGCAGTATGGGGGGGTCCTGGTATTTAGCCCTAATTTCCACCCAGGTGTAAAGTAGAGCGACCAATGAGGAACAAGTGGACACAGTGGAGTTTCTGGGAGGTCCACCAATGGAAGGTGCTGGGGGACTCCAGGCCTGAGAAAGCGGGGGGGGGGGGGGGGGAAGAAGGGGGGGGGGTAGGAGATCAGGCCACTGGAATATTTTGTAGATTCTCAGACTCGTAAAAAGTGGGACATTAAGGGGCTGATTGTTTTGTTGTGGGACTAGCTTTTGGAGGGAGCCACAAAAGTGAACAAGGAGAAACCAGGAAGCAAAATAAAGCCTCCAAAGTGACCCATAGAGGGGCTTGCTGTATGGTATATATAGAGGTCAGAGATGCAGTTTGAGCCCCTGCATAGTACTTAGAAAAATTAGGAATGCCCAAGCCCCCTTGTTTCCTCTGTATGAGCATTGTATGTTTGGAAACCCAAGGTCTCGTTATTCCAAATAAATCTCAGAACATAGTTCTGGAATGACTTAAGAGCATAAGCGGGGATAGAAACAGGAAGGGTACGAAAGATATAGCTTTGGAAGAATTGTCATTTTTACAGCATTGATTCGACCTATCCATGAAAAGATGGTAGGACCAGGGCACAAGCAGAGCTTTGAGGGAACAAGAAGGTTGAATGTAATTAGCTTCGTAGTGCGTGTAATAGAATCTGGTGAGGCAGAGCGGATCCCTAGATAGTTTAGGTGAGTGTTAGGCCAGGTAAAATTATAGCTTTGTTCCAATAAGGTGATCTCTGCCAAAGGAAGGGAGATGTTAAGAGCAGAGGATTTGTCTTTGTTCACCATCAAACCAGAGAAATTAGAAAAGTGTGCGAGTTGAAAAGAGGATAGGAAGCATGGTATGAGGTTGAGTTAAGAGTTAGAAGCATATCATTTGCAAAGGAGCCAACTTTAAAGGACTGTTGGTCAACTGTAATCCCTTTAATATCTGGGTTAGATCTAATAAGGTGCAATGAAGGTTCCAAGGCTAGAACAAAGTATACAGTATCTCACAGAAGTGAGTACACCCCTCACATTTTTGTAAATATTTTATTATATCTTTTCATGTGACAACACTGAAGAAATGACACTTTGCTACAATGTAAAGTAGTGAGTGTACAGCTTGTATAACAGTGTAAATTTGCTATCCCCTCAAAATAACTCAACACAGCCATTAAGGTCTAAACCGCTGGCAACAAAAATAAGTACACTCCTAAGTGAAAATGTCCAAATTGGTTCCAAAGTGTCAATATTTTGTGGGGCCACCATTATTTTCCAGCACTGCCTTAACCCACTTGGGCATGGAGTTCACCAGAGCTTCACAGGTTGCTACTGGAGTCCTCTTCCACTCCTCCATGACAACATCACGGAGCTGGTGGATGTTTGAGACCCTGCGCTCCTCCACTTTCCGTTTGAGGATTCCCCATAGGGTTTAGGTCTGGAGACATGCTTGGCCAGTCCATCACCTTTACCAAGGCAGTGGTCATCTTGGAGGGGTGTTCGGGGTTATGTTGGAATACTGCCCTGTGGCCCAGTCTCTGAAGGGAGGGGATTATGCTGCTTCAGTATGTCACAGTACAGGTTGGCATTCATGGTTCCCTCAATGAACTGTAGCTCCCCTGTGATGGCAGCACTCATGCAGCCCCAGACCACGACACTCCCACCACCATGCTTGACTGTAGGCAAGACACACTTCTCTTTTTACTCCTCACATAGTTGCCGCCACACACACTTGACACCATCTGAATCAAATAAGTTTATCTTGGTCTCATCAGACCACAGGACATGGTTACAGTAATCCATGTCCTTAGTCTGCTTGTCTTCAGTAACCTGTTTGTGGGCTCTCTTGTGCATCTTTAGAAGAGGCTAACCTTCTAGAACGACAACCATGCGGACCAATTTGATGCAGTGTGCGGCATATGGTCTGAGCACTGACAGGCTGACCCCCCACCCCTTCAACCTCTGCCGTAATGCTGGCAGTACTCCTACATATATTTCCCAAAGACAACCTCTGGATATCACACTGAGCACATGCGCTCAACTTCTTTGGTCGACTATGGCGAGGCCTGTTCTGAATTAAACCGTTGTATGGTCTTGGCCACCATGCTGCAGCTCAGTTTCAGGGTCTTGGCAATATTCTTATAGCCTAGGCCAGGGGTCTGCAACCTTTAAGACATAAAGAGCCACTTGGACCCGTTTCCGAGAGGGAAAAAAAGACTGGGAGCCACAAAACCATTGCAACATTTAAAACAAATCCGACACTGCATATATTGCAAAAAGCGCTCTGGTCATGAAGGGGGTTTAAGGGCCCAGTAAGCAAAGGGTTAATCAGGGCCACAGTGTATCGTCATAATCACAATCATAGCCTTAGGTCAGTGGTGGGCAACCTTTTTTTTTCAACTGAGCCAAATCTCGCCAAAACCACGATTGAAATTTATTTTGAGAGAAACATTTTTAAAACTGAAAATACATCCCCCATATAGTAATTCATCCCCCATATAGTAATTCATCCCCCATATAGTAATTCATTCCCCATATTGTGTCAATTCACTTACCTTTGCTCCGCGCGTTCCTCTCGCTGTGTTCCCGCGCCGTTCTGGTCTTCAGGGCGGACTGTGAGAGGAGAGGAGTTCGTCACGCTGCCCCGCCTACATCCTGACAGCCAATGTTTGCCAGCGGGCGCCCGGCACACAGAAGAGCTGCATTAAAAGAGCCGCGGCTTGCCGACCCTATTGCCTGTCACCTGGTGGGCAGTGTGCTCCAGAGCCGCAGGAAAGGTGAAAAAGAGCCGCATGCGGCTCCGGAGCCGCGGGTTGCCGACACCCGGCCTAGGCCATCTTTATGTAGAGCAACAATTCTTTTTTCAGATCCTCAGTTCTTTGCCATGAGGTGCCATGTTGAACTTCCAGTGACCAGTATGAGAGAGCAATAACACCAAATTTAACACCTGCTCCCCATTCACACCTGAGACCTAGTAACACTAATGACTCACATGACACCAGGGAGGGAAAATGGTTACTTGGGCCTAATTTGGACAATTTCACTTAGGGATGTATTCACTTTTGTTGCCAGCAGTTTAGACATTAATGGCTGAGTGTTGAGGTTTTTTTTTTTTTTTTTTTTTTTTATAGGAGACAGCAAATTTACACTGGTATACAAGCTGTACACTCACTACTTTAAAATTGTAGCAAAGTGTAATTTCTTCAGTGCTGTCACATGAAAAAATAATAAAATATTTATAAAACGTGAGGGGTGTACTCACCTCCGTAAGATACTGTAGGAGACAGGACATCCCTGCCATGTCCCTATAGAGTGGAAAAGAGCTTGTCGAGAGAGGTAGTGAACCGTGGCAGAGAATCTGTGGTACAGCCAGGATGTAAAAGTGGCAGGAAAACCCCACTTGTCCAAGACATAGTACATGTATCCCAGGAAAAAGGAGTAGAGTGCCTTATGTATATGCAAGCCAAGGACCATACCAGGAATTTGGTTCTGATGGATCAGGTGAATTAGATGAATCACTCTGCGGGTATTAGGGGCCTGCCGAAAGAGGACAAAGCCTACTTGATCTTTATGAATGAGGTTGTGTAAAAATATATTTATTCTAGTGGCAAGAATTTTAGCAAGAATTTTAATATTGACATTCAACAGGGAAATGGGTCAAAAGTTCTTGAGAATCCATTCCAGGTTTGGGTATCATGACTATTTGGGCCACCTTTGACAGGTGTATGTCAGAATGAGAATGTAAGCGATTAAATAAGTTGTTCAAATGAGGGGCTAGGATGTCAGAGAATCTCTTATAATACAGTGCCGAGAAGCCATCAGGTCAAGGAGGTTTTTTTTTTTTTGCGTTTTTAGTGATTTGATTGCAGCAAGGACTTCAAGGGTCATTATGATCAGCCTTCATTGCGTCTGACAGATTGGGAAAGACTAGGAAGTTAGATATCTTGAAGTAGATCATCCGCCAAGTCCCCTCGAAATGGCTGTGAAGGTTGGTATAATGTGGACCAAACTGACGTAAAAGTTTCCACAATTTTGGAAAGGTTGGCAGTGTTTTTTCTTGGGCAGATGTAACAAGATTGGTTTGGTATCTTGTATATGGGCCTTAAAGGAGGTTAGCTAACATCGAATCTGGCTTATTGGCACATGCGTTATATTTGCGCTGAGACCATCTAATTGGTTTTTCTGCCCAGTTACCCAGAAGGTTCAGTTCCACCCTAGTGGTGTCTAACTTTATGTAAAGAGGGAAAGCAGGCGGCGTTAAATTGAGCTTCCAACTGTGTAAGGTGGGAGGATAAGGTTGCTATAAGTTTCTTTCCTTCTTAAGAGATGCAAGTTGTACAAGTTTCCCCCTAAGTGTGGCTTTGTGGGCTTCCCACAAAATCGTGGGACAGGATGCTGATTCAGTATTGTCAGCAAAATAAGTAGAGATGGAGTCACGGATGTTATTGGCTGTTTCATTGAAGGATAACAGAATCGTTGAGGCACAAGTTAAAGTGGCGAATGATCAGACCATGATGTAGATAAAATTTTTAACATTAAGAATGTCAGGAATGAATGTTTGAGAGATTAAAAAGTGATCTATGCGTGTAGGACAATTGTGGGGTGCTGAATAATCATGTGTAATCTCGAGCTCTAGGGTTAAGCTCCCTCCAGGCATCCACCAAGGCATGTTGGGTCAGAAGATCTTGGAACAGTTTTGTTTTTGAGTTGGCGTCAGTGGAAATTGTGGAGGAGGTAGCTGAAGGGGATCTATCCAATAGCCCATTTAGTACCATACTGCTATCTTCCATCGTAATCAAAGTACACTTTCTATGACATGAGATTACACATAGCAAAGAGAAAAAGCAGGCCTGATGGGCATTGGGGGCATAATAGTTGACTATGGTGACTTCTACATCCAGGATAGACCTGTAAGGTCCACGATTTCAAGGAAACGAAAAAAGTTTTTTTATGAAATGCCACTAAAACCTTTTTTTCCCCCTCAAATGTCACCTGGAACACTTGGGGGTATTTTTTTATGAAAGTATTTAGGGAAGGAGGAAGAAAACCTGGTTTCCTGCAATCCAATAATATTGGGTTGAAGTGAAGCATAAAAGGGGAAGGGCGCACCTACGTTTCTGGGGAGAGTTGAAGCCCTGCACATCATGTGACACTATAGCAAATTTGGAGGTAGCCATCATGGGGGGTAAAGGGCAAGACAGCTAGGGATTGTGGCAGAGGTCTATTTCAAGGTTAATGTACAAGGCCTGGGCGTCCCAACATCCAAAAAACAAAGGAAACAGAATGAAGAGGCAAGAAGAGAATAGAAGTGAAAGCAGGCCCATACACAGGGGATGTTAAGGAAAGAGTTGCCTAAGTAATCAATGGCGGTGATCAAATGCACTGCCATAGGTTGGGGTCGCTTGAGCCGACCAGGTGTGCATTACATATGATTAAAAAAAAAAAAAAAAAAAAAAAAAAAAAAACAGCAAAACTATTGCCTGACACTAGAAATGTAGGGATAAAAGGAAAGAAAAAAAAAACACATAAGGGAAGGAAAAGGAAGGGGGAATTTGGGATGTATATAAATGCCTATATGTACAGGGGTGCACATGTGCCTATGCATACACTTGCAACAAAAAGGAGGAATGGAGAAGGTTGCGGTCAACCCAGGGGGAGCCAGAAGGTAGAACTGCCAGTAAGTTCCAGCGCCCAATGTGCAATACAATATGATGAAAGGAAATGCAGGCGGGCTTAACAGCAATGCCCCACAACTCATCCGGTCCAGTTTGGGGTAATTAAGGTTTTATAAAACATCTAGATGATCCCCGTGGGTGACAACAAGCCTCCAAAATTGAGTGCACATTAACATACATAATGAAAAACAAAAAAACAAAAAATTGTCTCGTTGTAAACTAAAAAAAAAAAAAAAAAAATCAGGGAGCATTTGCAAATCAGTGTATCCAAAACAAGGGGAATGTCCAGGAATACCCTAATGATAGGTGTGTGGAGTCCAAAATAGGTGGACTAGCAAAAAAAAAAAAGCAAAAAAATGAGCGATTCAGGCTTCATATGGAAGATCAGGTCTGGAGGCTGATCTGGTTTGTCTCGATGTAGAACAATGTCTCAGAGGCAAAGGTTCCCAGAGAGGGGTAAGGCAAGGAGATTTGCGAGATTGAGGATTGTGAGGCCTGTGAGCCAAACTGAGGTCAGGAGCATGAGCTGCAGTTTGGCAAAGACTGCCTGAGCTTCTGCCGTAGAGAAGGCATATGATGGCCTTGGAAGAAAGGATATTTTGAATGTAAAATTCCAGCTGTATTTAATGCGGTGGTGTTGTAATGTTTGGATGAATGGTTTTAGTTCCTTGTGTTACAAAAAGTGTTTGTGAAGCCAAGTCTGAGAAAATTTGCTATCTGTGCTTTTGAAAAGTCAGATCTCTCTTGGACCAGGATGCTTGCATGACAGCTTCCTTGGTCTTGTAAAAAGTAGGTTTGACTATGTCACGAGGAGGCCCTTCAGACCAAAGGCCCTATGGATTCTGTCAAATTCCAGTCATTCTATTTGGGGTTCCTGGTATGAGCTCCTGTAACAAGGCAGTAACCATAGAGTTTAAGTCCTCTTTAGATTCAGGAAATCCTCTGATCCAAACGTTTCCTATCCTACTGTGGTTCTCTAAGGCCTCGAGTGTTTGGAGGGCAGAAGCATCCAATTTGATGGTGTCTATTTTGTTCATGGTTATTGATAACTAAAATAGCTTAGTTCATTTTGTGTTCAAGATCATGGATAGGGGATTCTATGTCCCTTATTTCTTTGTAGCGAGTTGTTCCATAGCAGTTTAAATTTCTTAAGAGCTGAATCATGAACGGTCACTGCAGTGGGATTTGCTATTTGTGCAACGCAAAGACTGTCATTAGAGGGGTCGTCTAGTTGGGATATGAGCTCCTGAGAGGAAAGTGGGTGTTAAAGGAGAAGGTTGTGGAGAGGCCATTTTAGATGGGAGCTGTTTAGCAGGGCCAGTTGAGGTCTTTGAGGTGCCCCCAGAAGATTTAGTAGACATAGGTGGGAGTAGTGGTTGAGTATTTCCCCATGGTCCCAGAAAAATCCATGGGCGTTTGAATAAAAGTGTCCAAACAGCTATGACTGCTAATATATCAAAGCCTGTAGTTTAACGCAAGAAATGGCAGGATGACATATGAGGAGCGCTGGATATGAGCCAAGTGCTGTTGTCCAGCAGAGCAGGAGAAGGGAAAAGAAAAAGGGAAAATAGGTATATGGTCCCCGACAGAGTCCCTCAGTGAAATGGGATTGGGGTACAAACGCCTATTGCGGGTATAGCCTCCCTAAATTTGCAGGAAACAGGTGGCAGGCAACAGCTACAAATAGTTCAGCTGTACAGTGGTGTGAGGTGACAGTGCCCAAGTAGTAGTAGGGCTATCCCTAAAGGCAGGAGACTACCTAGGGCATGACCGCAGCTACAGCAGCTATTATGACTGTAAATAAAGAGTGAGGGGTAGCAGGCTGTGCCGAGACCCAGGCAATGCACCTCAGATGGTGCCAGATGATTCCTCCAAGTGCAGCCTGTCCCCCCCGTCATGCAGGGTGCAGTCGACCTCACTTGGCTGCAGGGATGGTTAGGTGCCCAGGCCGGGTGCGTGCACCAGCAGTGATTGTGGTGAAGGGCCGAATCCTCAGGAGTGACCCAGACAGCAGGGCCAAGTGCAGACTGGGAGCCAGTCCAGGGAACAGGTAAGGCGCTCACGCCAGCTGAAAAGATACACAGGCTGGCGTTGGGACTGCAGAGCAGAGGTGGGTAGGAGACACTCACTCACATTGACCGCAGGAGGATTCCGGCTGCCACGTCCCCTTTGCTGCAGGGTCCCACTAGTGGTAAAGGTCCAGGGACCAGGAGCCAATGACAAGGTGGTCCGAGTCGGCTAAACGCAACAAGCAAGTCCGCGGGGCGTCAAGGAAGCAGAGGACCTGGTATGGGGTTGTCAGGGGCTACTATGAAGGGTGGTAAATATATTTGCACACCTGGGCGGTGAGGAGCCAGTCTAACTTGCGACCATCTTCTTCAGCTGCTCAACAGCGCCCCCTCGGGGATATTGGTTTTCAACTTGTGAAACCAAGAACCACAAAGGGGCCTGCATGTACTTTTATAAATCTTCAGAAATGTGGGCATAGATCTTTTATATTAAAAATCTGACAGGCATACTTTACAGAGGAACCATCATTAAAAGGTTTTAATGTTATTTAATACCCATTTCAATCCGATAATTGGCTTCTAAGCAGCACTGGTGGACAGGTCCATCCCTTGCTTCGACAGGAATGCCCATATAAAGGGCCAAATAGGGTGGAGCTACAACCAAATAGGTGTTTGGAGACAGAGCCACCAATCAGAATGGGACCAAGTGCTATATGCACATAAAAAAATATAAAAAGAAAACCTCAGGTCCTGTCATTCATGTGGATGTTACGTGACACATACTACCAAGCTAAACATTGTTGCTGACCAAATACACCTTCATAGAAACTTTCCTGATGGCAGTGGTCTCACCCTGCCACACTGCAAAAATGGTTCAAGAATCATTTAAGGAGAAAAAACGAGTGAGGCGTTGACTTGGCCTCCAAATTCTCTAAACCTTAAAACAAATTGAGCATGGGGCGGGATGTGCTTAAAAAACAAGTCCAATCTGTGGAGGCCGTGCCCTGTAGCATTAAAGGATATGCTACTGATGGCTTGTGACAGGTACTACAGCATCCTTTCAGAGGTCTAGTGGCATCCACACCTCAGAGGGTCAGTGCTGCTTTGGCACCAAAAGGGGGATCTACTCAATATTAGGTGGGTGGTCATAAAGTTATTGCTAAACTGTGTATATTCCTTGCACATTTTGTAGTTCATCGATTTACAATCAGCTGAAGACCCTTTCTTCATACCTCAAACAGTATATATTTCTGTGCAATATTTTGCAAAATGCTGACCTACAGATAATTAAGCAAATATTTTCATGATCTAAAGCGGAATAAATCAGAATGTACCTCTAATAGCACTAATTTTTTTTATAACCTTACCTTCTCTTATTTTCTAATCCTCCAATTGTACTGTGCTCCTCATCTTTGTTCATCCTTTTCCTTCTTTCTCTGATGGCATTGAGTACAGTTTCTTTTGCACAAGGATCTGGTGAACATTGAACCAGTGGAGATGCTGGCCCTGGAGACAGCAGGTCATCCAGGCTAGAGTAGGGAAAAAAAAAAAAAGTCAAGAAATTCAATATTAGGCAAACAGCAATCCTGTTCAAGTGTATGACACCAATTTAAATGGTGCATTTTTTGATCTATATTTGTGAAAGAGCTAGAATAGAATGGGCTATAATATTTTGCACATTTGCTAATATCGCCCAGATTCAATTTACAAAAGCTCGCTTGTGAGAAATTTGCTCTTTCAATCAGAAGCATTAGTCATCTGCCTCTAGGAAGTATTCTATTCCAGTCATCTGCATAATCTGTGGGTACAGGCATCCTAATGGGACTAGTCTTTAACCCTAGGTTTCCAGCTCTACAAAGATCACCTTGATTTGAACAACATTCCCAACGCAATAAACACACATTCTCATTCTACAGCTGAGATTCACCATAGTGGATGTTTACAGATATTACTTACACAGGTGAACGAGCGATATTCGGGTCTGGCCGTGCAATTTTCACAGTAACAGGACTGCGTACCAGAGAAGACTTTGGTGATAGTAAGCATTTTTTCTGATACCCATCAAAATACACTGTAGGAAGAGAACCCGGCATGCTGTACTGCGGCTGATGGATTGGGTAACGTCTGCGTGGACTCAGAAAAGCCCGACTGGATAGCCGAGGTGTCTCTCTGAAGATAGAAAACATTTTAACATAAAAGATCTTGCAAGTATACAGAAACAGAGATAATTATAGAATGAAAAGGTTTTGATGAAAAAGTCAAATACTTGGCAATATAAAAAAAGGATTGCACTGTCAAATATTAGTCTACATTGTTGCATGCCAACACCTAATTAGTTTTGAAATTTGTTCATGCCCTACCGTCACAGGTTGTAAGAGCCTAAGGCTGCTAAAAAACTCAAAACATATTATTCTCTACAGATGCAGCCAACAAGAGTGCTCTTGTTCTCATGCTGCAATACAAAATGTGACGCACTTGAAAGAAAAGTTAGAAGTCCTAAAGCCTTAAGGTTTTTCACCCTTATGCATGCTATGCATTAAAGTGAAAAAAGCCTTCTGTGCTGCAGCTCGCCCCCTTTTCTTACAGAAGCCATATCCAATCCAGCCATTTGCAGGAGAGCAGTGGCTGCAGCTGCTGTCTCCCTCATTGGGCAGATTGATAGCAGCGGGAGCCATTGGCCATGGGGGAACCCACCGAAGAGGATGGTCCTGGAGCGCAAGCAGGGGACCCCAAAAAGGAGGATGGGAGCTGCTCTGTGCAAAAACATTGCACAGAGCAGGTAAGTATAAACATGTTTGATATTTTAATTAAGAAAAACAAAACCAAAGGTTCAACATGACTTTAAAGTTATGGTAAAAGCCATGTTTTCTCATTAAAGTATTAAGGGAAAAAAAACAACACAGTACATGCTTTGTGCAATGGGATTGCGTAGAGCAGCCCCTGGTCTTCTGGCGTCCCCAACTGGCGCTCTTTGCTCCCCCTCTTCCTGTGGGCACCCCCTCAGTATGCCATGTGCTGATGGGGCACCCGTGTGAGCGGACTTCTGATCCGATTTTATTTTTTCAAAACTTATTGCTGTCAAAAGAACTGTAAACATCCTTGTGACAGCAATGGGCATGTCACAGGTAGTCTTTATAGAGGGACATAAGACCACCCGCCTCTGCACATAAAAGCATTCAAAATATCAAGATCTGTGTTTCAAATGCTTTTGCATTTTTTAAAAATGGTACCCTTAACATCCAGGTAAACCGAAAAATGACAGGTCATCACTTCCAAGTTACCATAGCCGGGAGCCAATCAAAGCTTTTTCCAGCTTTGTTAGGCACGCTGGCTTTTCGCTCAGGTCTCCCGGTGGGACAGGAGATCCTGGTCAAGCCACGGAAGGTGGCGGAGGGGGTGGATGTCCCTTCCTGCTGCCTGTATTAGCTGCACCTGTACAAATGTCACATAGGGAGCACAATGGCTGTGTCCATGCACAAAGAACAGCCACTAATACAAATGGATGGCTGTAAGAAGGCATATACGTGTAAAGGCTGATCACTTCTACACTACGCCTTGCCCAGACATATGATACACTTCAACTTTTGTCCTTTGGAAATACACTGTATGCACATATTCAGGTAAACGCCCACGCAAGAGTGATCACCCTTGATGCGTGTGTGTGTGTGGGAGGGGGGGGGGGGTCATGCACCTGTACAAATGTCACATAGGGAGTGCAATGGCTGTGTCCATGCATCCACGCACGGTGAACAACCACTAATACAAATGAATGGCTGTAAGAAGGCATATACGTGTAAAGGCTGATCACTTCTACACTACGCCTTGCCCAGACATATGATATACTTCAACTGTTGTCCTTTGGAAATACACTGTATGCACATGTTCAGGTAAACACCAACGCAAGAGTGATCACCCTTGGTGCAGGGAAGGGGGGGGGGGTTCATGCACCTGTACAAATGTCACATAAGGAGCACAATGGCTGTATCCATGCACGGTGAACAACCACTAATACAAATGGATGGCTGTAAGGCGGCATATACGTGTAAAGGCTGATCACTTCTACACTACGCCTTGCCCAGACATATGATATACTTCAACTTTTGGAAATACACCGTATGCACACATCCAGCTAAATGCCAACTTAGAAGCGAACACCCTGGGTGTACTGGGGGGGCCGCGCACTTGTATGAACGTCACATTGGAAATAGCGGCTGTGTCCATTCAGCCACTGCGTCCAAATAGGCAACAATGGGAATTCCGGCACAGGGATGCATGTACCACCTGCGCCCCCCCAAAGTGCGGCCCTGTGCGGGGTAGGATATTGTCATCCCATGTGAACGAGACCTAAGATGGTTAAACATAAAACCAGCGTGTCCATGACCCTCCCCCTCCCGGAAGGCACATACAGAAAGGAGCCATGCACCCCCTTCCCCACCTGAAAGAAAGGCGTCTGGCCGGGGTTGCCACAGCCGGGTTGGGTCTGGATAACCGCTCTTTCAGCTCCCGGCTTCCTCTGCCCACTGCCCGGGCCGGGGGGTCTTGCTTGCCCAGATAGCTGCCCATGAGTAACAGTAAGGAAGCAGGCGTCCACTTCAGGCCCGGCTCCCTCTGCCGCCTATGTCCCGCAGGTCTCTGTCGCCTCCCTGGTGCTCCTCCTCCCGTCAGTTGCCTCCAGTCCAAGTACCTCCACACGGCTGGCCCCGAGGAGCTGTAGTAAAGGCAGGCGCCAGCCGCACACAGCACCACAGCGCTGAGCACAGGGAAGCAGTACAGCACTAGGAGGAGAAGCAGGGCCGCGGGCACGAGCAGAACTAACGGCTGTACCTCCTGACTCCGCCAGGACCGGAGTACCCGCTTCAACCTTACCCACCGCCCTGCTCCGTGCCCGCTGGACGGACACATGATCCCCCCCGCGCGCCGCGCCAGGCCTTAAATACCCAGCGTGCCCCGCGCTCGTTAGCCCCCTAGCCGTCACATCCCGTGTCACCAGGCAACGAGCCCACACCACGCCCACACATTCATTTCAAAAGGAATCCCGTAGCCTGTCTTTGTCAACCGAAGGAGAACGACACTTCCGCCGGCTGTTTATTGGCTCTGCTTTGGATTCGAGCTCTGAAAAGTCACGTGATAGAATAGGCGGGGCAGAGCGCGCGCCCCCTCTGCCAATCAGATATCGAGATTTGGCCCCGTGTGAGGGTCAAGCGCATGCGACGCTGTTTGAATATGAGTGAATGTCTTGCTGACCTCTGGAGACAGTGTACTGTGAAGTGAGGTGTGCGGACGGGGCTAAAGGTGTATGAGGAATCTACCTCTGGTAGTACTGGCTGTGTGGAGCACTACCCGGAAATGGGTCCAACATGGAGGCTCTTTTAAAGGCACAGTTCACTTTTACAAAAAAAAAAAAAAATACTGTATATACGGACAAGTTACATCTGTAGATAAAAAAACTGCAGTTTGACTAAAGTCAAGTAAAGCCATTGCTATGGGTAAACCTGACTGGAAACTTCTAGAAGCCGTTACTTTTATTGCAGAAGCATCAAAAACAACATGTTACATGTAATCGGGGTACATCTCACCCTGTACTGCGACGCAGCGCACCACATAGCAATACAGTTCCAAGCATACGATAAATACAGTCAGGCAAATAAATACATTCGCTCAGCGGTATGATGCCTGACGTGATGTGCACGGAGGATGAATCCCCCGGACCACCACGTCATGCATGACGCCGCTTACCCCAAAAACTGTAGCATCCTAATACAATATACATTTCCTAGTCACTATGTCATGCACTATAACGATAACTGAAAAACACGATCAACAATAGGCATCGGGTGTGTGTGTGGGGGGGGGGGGGAAGGGGGGAGGAAGGGGGAAACACAGGCCCGAAGCTTTATTGAAGGGACAAAGACACGCAAGGGGGGGAGGGGGAAGGGGGAAATCTTCAGACGTCCTCTTCCTCCTTAAAGTCCATCAAGGAATAGTCTCTGAGCAGACTGAGGGTCAGTCTGCGGCAGTCCTCAATGGACATCCTCTCCCGCTGGAGGGTGAGGCGCTTTCTGGCGCACCATAAAGCGTCCTTGAAACAGCACAGCACCCGCCAGGTGCTGTCAATGTCCTCCAGAGAAAAGGTTCCACAGAACAGTCCATTCAGCACCCCAAAGTGAGTGATGGCTGTCTGTGGCACAAAGTCCTTGAGTTCAGGTTCCAGGGCCCCCAACAGGGCCTGAGCAAATGAGCACTCCCAGAAAAACGTGGTAAGACGTTTCCTCATGGATGATGCAGAAGGGGCAGTGTCTGTATCTGCTCAGGTTCCTGGCATGCATAAATGTCCTGAGAGGCAGTCCCCCCTGGATAGCCATCCATGTCAGGTCTTTGTGCCTGTTGGTGAGGATGTTTGAGGAAACATTCCTCCAGACCACCTTGCAGGTGTCCGAAGGCAGGCCTGGAACCGACTCCAAAATGTCGCTGGCTCGGATGAGCTTGTAGATAGTCTTTGGCTTCCACAAGTCAGGCTTGACTCCCTGTAGCCCTTGCTCCCTGATGAACTTGAAAGTATCCAAGTAGTACCAAGGAGTGTCCCAGTTGTAGGGGATGGAACTATCCCAAGTGTCCCACCCCAGGGACCTCCAGAGAGGCAACAGGAAGAAGCGAGACATTGCGTTCCCGCCAGAGTCCATAGTCCGTCTTGGCAAAGTTCTGCGGATGCAGTTGCAAGCAAAGAACACCCTCAGCTGGGTGGCGATGTCGGGCACGCCCTTACCGCCCTTGAGGGGTTCCTTGAACATGACTGCCCGCTTCACTCTGTCCATCTTGGAGCCCCAGATGAAGTGAAACACCGCCCTGGTGATGGCCTTGCAGGTGTTGACCCGAGGGGGCCAGGCCTGGGCGAGGTACTGCAACACAGGGAGAATCTCGCTGCGGAGTACCAGTGTCTTCCCTTCGATGGTGAGGTCTCTGAGGCTCCAGAGTCCAAACTTTTGGCGCATCTTGGCCAGTCTCTCCTCCCAAGACTTCAGGGCTGCGCCCTCGGCACCAAACCAAACCCCCAAAACCTTCATGAAGTCTGTCTTGATGCCAAAGGGCATGGATGCAGAAGAAGGCAGGAACCACTTTCCGAAGAGCATGACTTCCGACTTCCCGCAGTTGACCTTTGCCCCCGAAGCTTGGCCGAAGTCCTAGCAGGTCTGGACGAGCAGGTCAATGGAGCGCTGGTTGGCACAGAACACCGTCACGTCGTCCATGTAGAGCGAGCACTTCACTTCCCGTCGGTCTGGTCCCGGTGCGGTGATTCCCCCGATCTCTGGATTCCGTCTGATGCATTCGGCGAAGAGCTCTATACAGCAAACAAAAAGCAGAGGTGAGAGAGGACAGCCTTGTCTGACCCCGGAGAGGACCGGGAAGGGGTCAGTCTTCCAGCCGTTCACCTGCACGGAACTACAAATGTCATTGTACATGATGTCAACATATGAACAAAACATTTCCCCAAGACCAAACCTGCGCAGGGCTCTGCACATAAACCCATGGGAGACACGGTCAAAGGCCTCTAGAAGCCGTTACTGCTCACCACAGGAGTGAGCTCAGAGATACTGCATCAGGAGAGCGTGTGTGGGCCACGCAGGCCCTGAGGGAGAGGGGGCCCATTGTACACTGAGGGAGAATGTCTCCAGCACACCAAGGATCACCAATATGGGTCCAAAGGTTTTAATGAACGATCACATCGTTACAGCAAGGCAACGTTTCAGAGTCTCCCAGGACCCCTTCATCAAGCATGCGACAGCAACTGGAGAACTATTTAAGAAAACCATCCACCAATCAGAGTGAAGTGAAATGAGCCTGGTCCCACCCCATGATGTCATTTTCCCTCTAAAAATGCATTCAAATTATTGTAAACAGAAACTGGGAAAATAAATAAACCATAAAACAATAATCAGATGTGCATAACCTGCATTCCCGGGGATAGAAACCTTGTGTTCACATGTATCATAGTACCCCCTGGATTGTAAAAAAGTATCAGCTGGAAGCAGTGCTGGATTTTGGAAACAACGATCGGCGGCATTTATGTCCCTGACAGAAGCTAAAAGCTGTTGCCTAGAGATTGGGAGTGTATCTCCTATTGTCAAGGGAGCTGCAATGAGGACAAACCTAAAGTGGTCCTTATGGTGCAGCAGCCGACTGTCATGGTGACGCTTGTCACCTGCGCATGCACCATGCGAGTTTACTACTCATGTATGTGCTCAAAGTCATTCCTACACCAACCGCCGTTATCATGGAAACCCAAGACATCAGTGCTGGGCAGGATGAGGCAGGTCGCGGGTGTCATGAAAACACATGACGCCGACACAACACAAGCCAATGGGCGGACAAGGGTGCAGAGATGAGCTGTAAAGAAAAAAGAACAGAAGGGGAGCAGATTGAGGGTCAGTTCACACCACATGCATTTCAGTTGCTTTTCCTCTGCATCCAAAACGCAGAGAAAGTAGGCTACATGGTTGTCAATGTCATAGTTCACATCAGTGCTTGCAGTTCCAGTGCATTCCAGCCACAGAAAAAAAGCAGAACATGTTGCATCTTCTCCACACAGAACTGTACTGGAACACGGCAAAACGTATCAAAAACGCACCGGAACACACATGTCCCCATTTAAACTGAAGAAAAAGAGAAGGGAGAAATCGAACTGGAATGCATAAAAAATGCATCGGAACACATCAAAAACGCTCTGGAACGCGCCAAAAACGTGCACAAAAAAAGCATCCATAACGCATCTGGACTGCATCTCCATAGTGCAAACCAGCCCTGAGACCAATGATAATCGGTCTGCGAATGGAGCTAGGGAGAAGTGGGAGAAAACGGAGTGATAAAAAATGGAAAAGAGGCTAGAAACTAAAAAAATGGAAAAGGGGCTGGAAACGAAAAAAACAATAGCGGGAAAAAGGAAATGAAAAAAAAAAACTAAATGAAACAAAAAAAAATAAAGCTAAAAAAATAAACTGAAATAAAAAAATGTGTAGGGGTGGCACAGCTCACCTGCTTGCAGAGAGAAAGAGAGAGACCACTGTGAATAGTGTGAATGTGAAAAATCTAAACTTCTAAACACTTTCATTGTACACTGCACACATGGAGGTGTCCTTGACAAATCTGAGGCGCTGCAGCTGCGCTTATGACTGCCGGCTGCCGAGGCAGCTCTGTATCATTCCAAATGGGGGGGCACACAGTACACAAAGTAGCTGAGGGTCACAGTGCTAGGCAGTGCTGTGGATACATCCCCTCCGCATCTCTCCTGATCAATCAAAGTGGCTACAACAGGACTGAGCAGGAGCAACAATGGCCAACAGAAGAGATCAAGATGAATATCCACTAATTGGTGAGAGGAGCAATCGGGGCAGAACCTGGCTTCCCCATGGTCACTGCAATAAGCCCCCGGTCACATCAAAGCCGATTTTGAAACCGTGCAACTTACAGTGAAGTCGCACGATTTCAAAAATTGGGTGACCTGACGATTTCAGATGCGATTTACAAGACATCTGACACAGATGTCTATGCAAATTGCAACATAAGTGCATGCACTACTTTAGAAATTGGTGCGGCTCCAACCAAGTCGGAAGCGCAACGATATGACCACTCGAATAGCGGACAATAGAGTGCGACTTGGCATACGATTTGCAAGTTGCCTGGCATGCATATTGCATGTCAAATCGCATCCAATGTGACCAGGGTATCATTTTCTGTCCCCAGAGAGGAGAGAACAGTAGGTCAGCTGTGAGTATACAGTGCACATGTATAGTACAGAAGCCAGCATATACAGTATATATATATATATAATACAGGAGATATATTTATATCCAAATCAGGTGTGGTGACTGGCACATCTCAATGCAATCAAGCCATCCCAAGGCTATATA